CTTTCGGACCTCGGACCACCATTGGCGACCGCTGCCTGAAAGTGTCTATTATTGGGGGGGGTTCTGTTTGGGCGACCCTGGGTGTCATGGGGAGGAGCCGAGGGTTTGTGCCACTGCTTCAGGTGGTCTCGCTATTGGGAGATTTGTGCTGAGCCCGCGCCCTGATGGATTTGGAAAGGGAAGGCGCTTAGAGGCGCTCACAGTTCTGACCTGGCCTGAGGCAGGTGGGCGCAGCTGGAAGGGAGGAAAGAGCTGATTGGAGAGAGCATGCGGGGAGAAGGCAGAGGGAAGGTGGTTTTGAGCTTATGCTGGTGGCGGTGTCCTCAGAGGGGAGGAGAAGTCCGGTGGGAGTGGTTGTCAGAGGAGATAAGAGGGATCCTGTGGGATGTGACACCGACTGGAGCCCTGGAATGAGGTCAGATCGGAGACAGAGGCTTCCGCGTGTCGACAGTCTTCGGGGCCTCGCTCAGACCAGTTGTTTTTTCGGTTGACTGTGGTGAGGAAGACAGTGATGTAGAAAGATGCTGAGGAGAAAAGAGGACTTACCTGGAATTTTTGGCTTAAGAGTTAAGTAGTACTTTATATAAATATTATAATTCACTTTTAATTACCTTGCAATATTTTAGCAGAACATGAAAATTCAGGATGTTTGGAATAAATATCCTTTTAGTTTTTAGCTTCATCTGTATTCCCCTAAGATGCTTTTTGAACATTTGTCAATCTCTACAGGTTTATTATATTAATTAATACTATGTCAACAATTACATTAATAGATACTTCTGTTACTAAATATAGACTGATATTACTAAAGCTAACTTAGCGCCTGAAAGGCTGAGATCGGTCCTTTCTTTGGGTAATTTGTCATTTGGAACTGGCAGCTGAGCTTCTCTGTTTCCTAAGGAGGTGGTACTTTAGGTCATTTCCCTTCTCTAGTTCCTTCACAGAGTGTCAGTAGTTTGGGGGAATTTGTAGTATAGACTTCAGCCTAGATATGTCTTCTACAGTGTTTAAGTAGAGCTTCACAAATATGGCCTACTTAATTGTTATTAAGCATGACAATATAAAAGATGTTCAGTTATTAGCTCCTCCCTCCCCCGGCCACTAACCATATACCCATAATTCTTGTGCTTTTATTATTTGACCTGGGAAGGATAGAACCCACAGCAGCGAGGGACTGCTACTGGACAGGGGGGTGTGCTTGGAGACGTGCGGAGAGTTTGATGCACAAGTGGTTTCGTGGCCTTGGTTTCACAGGGTGGGACCTGCAGCAGTTCCATTGGAGCCAAAGAATATATGTTTTAAGGGTGGCAGTTGTGTCTGGTTCCCTTAAATAAGGTCCAGATTATGCAGAGTTTATTGTTGCTTAATTGTACCAAATAATTGAAGTATGATTAATTGGATAGAACTGGAAGTTTGCATTAATATAAAATCAGACTTGAAAATTAAATTTACTTGGGCATCTGAATATATCTTAATAACTTAAAAAGATATTTAATAATGGTGTTGTTTTTCAGTGTGCAATACTTACAGAGCTGGTTGCTGTTAAAAAAGATTTTATGTCCTTTTAGGGATGTTGACATCTGGAAGAAAAAAATGTACTTAGTGTTAATTTCATCTCAATAATGCAAAATCACATAGTTGAGCTGTTGCTATCTTTTCTCTTACATTCCATTTACTGATTACCCCTGGTATAAATGGCTCTCTCAGATAATCCTCTCCAGTGAATTTTAGCTTTCTGCTACCAAAAAGCAGTATTTTTCCCAAGTTTCAATTTCTCATAGAGTGGATATTGTTTCTATCATTATCTAATCCTAATATATAAAAACCCAGGGTCTGTAACATCCAAAATGACTGAAGGCTCTACCACCTGAAGTCAGACCTGCAGTCAGTGCTGGGTTGCCATGGCGACTAACACTGACTGCCCCTGGTGCCTGCGGCAACCCAGCACTGACTGCTGAGTGGGCTGTGGATCAGGCCCGGAGAGAGGCAGGGTCTGATCCACAGCCTCCGTGGCAGCTGCTGATCAGCTCTTGCCTCTGTTTCTCTCTGGGCCAGCTCGGGGTCTGCTGATCAGCCCGCCTCTCCGATCGGGCCTGGAGATAGGATTTTTGGAAGGGAAGGGCTATAACCATGCACATAGGACACTGATTCTTCAGTTTTTTATGCCAAACTTTTTTTTGTCAGACAGGGACATTTAAATATGTTATGCTGGCACATTTATTCTATGAAGATTAGCTAAGATAATTAAGGTCAGCTGTTCGGTTGAACCTAAAAACATATCAAAGCAGGGAGTAGTCAAAGGACGCATGGACTTTTGAATGTGAATATTGCAAATGAAATACTGAAATTACTTACAGTATCCCTGTCATTTGTTCTTGTCATGTAAGTTTCTACTTGTTCATTTTAACTTCCAATAGCATGAGCAAGTGATTATTTTTCCCCTGAGAAACTAAAGGAAGAAACTGCCTAATTAATATGAAAACTGCCCTTAAATCTCAATGGTCCACTGTAAGGATACTTACATGATTCTAGTTCTCTGACTTTTAAAACACTTGTCACGTCTTGTGTAATCAGTGTGTGCAAACTAAATGTAAAGCTGTAAGCAGGGCAGATACAGACTAGCGAGGCCGGGGAGTACTGCTGCTGAAGAAAACCTTCGAAACTAAATATAAGCAAATTCTGTTTTGTGTTCGTTTTTTTTCTTGGTTCATACCAGCTTTCCTCCATCGGCCAGAACAGCATTCCAGGTGGGAGTTGACTAGCACTACTAAGTTATGTTAATGTGCATTCAGTGCTCAGCCGTTTAAGGTTTCATAGAAAAATGTCTTTCCATTGTCTCCTTTTATTGCTGTGTTAAATTAAAATTCTAAATATAGTTCATTATTAAAAGAAACGAGCAGGGTTAAAATAGAGAATTGGTTAAAATAAAGCCTTTTCAAAATATTTTGGGTACAGTAGCAGCTTCAAGTGGAATTGAGCTTTGGCCTCCTTTACAGGGCTAGAGCTGTCCACAGTCAGACAGACTGACGAAGTCAGAATCCGAGCCACAGCTATTAAATGGCAGCCTTTCCTTAGAGGGTTTGTCCTCTCACCAGTTCACACTGCCCGGGGAGGGAGGCGTGGCGAGCGAGCGGACTGGGCCTGGTTCAGGGGAAGGTTGAGCCTCCAGGGTCAGGAGACCGAGAAAGTGCCGGAGAGCCCCGTACTCTTTCTAGGATTTCTTTTACGTTTCTGGTTGAAAGCAGGTGAAGGCGATGTTAATTTAGTTGAGAAAGGATTTAAGAAAATGGAGAGGCAGGCTTTAGTGGCCAATGACTACATTCAAACCATTAAAAAGAAAGTCATGCCGAAACCGGTTTGGCTCAGTGGTAGAGTGTCAGTCTGCGGACTGAAAGGTCCCAGGTTCGATTCCCGTCAAGGGCATGTCCCTGGGTTGCGGGCACATCCCCGGTAGGGGATGTGCCCGGGGATGTGCAAGAGGCAGCTGGTCGATGTTTCTTCCTCTCTGTAAAAAATCAATGAAATATATTTAAAAAAGAAAAGTCATGATTAAATTAGTCTTTTAAATTGCATCATTTATAAATTAGTTCGTATTAAATAATGAAATCTTCGTTATAGTGTAGTTTTAGGCCCAGTGTTGAATCCTAGGAAACTTTTTAATAGTGAGTTATGTTTTTATTTTTTATTTTATTTTATTTTTAAAAATATATTTTATTGATTTTTTTTTTTTTACAGAGAGGGAGAGGGATAGAGACTTAGAAACAACGATCAGCTGCTTCCTGCACATCCCCTAAAGGCGATGTGCCTGCAACCAATGTACATGCCCTTGACTGGAATCGAACCTGGGACCCTTCAGTCCACAGGCTGATGCTCTAGCCACTGAGCCAAACTGGTCAGGGTGTGAATATGTTTTTAATATGAATTGAATTTTTGGTATATTTCAAATGCTGAATATTTTGAGTATGAGTATTCAAAATTATATTGGAGTGATATGCTTGTAGTTACCTCAGCGGCATTCTGTCGATTTCATTGTCTCCGGTTTAGGTGACCTGTACTTTTTAAAAAATGTTTTTATTGATTTCAGAGAGAAAGGAAGAGAGATAGAAATATAAATGATGGGAGAGAATCACTGACTGGCTGCCTCCTGCATGCCCCCTACTGGAGATATAGCCTGCAACACGGACATGTGCCCTTGATCTGAATTGAATCTGAACCATGTGCCCTTGACCTGAATTGAATCTGAACCCTTCAGTCCACAGGTCAACGCTCTATCCATTGAGCCAAACTGGCGAGGGCCTGTACTTGTTATTTTATGTGTTTCAGACAGAACTAGACTTGAAGATATGTAGGCTCTCAAGCAGCTCTTTCTCCAGCTCGGTGTTACTTGGTAAATTTTAAGGATGACTCCTCAACGTCTCCTTTTTACTTGTGCTTATTAGGAGCAGTGTGCAGTTAGCACTTTCCTGCTGTTTTTCTCCCTTAGCAAGGAGAAGAGAATTGTCTTTGATCTTCTGAATTCTTTAGTAAATCAAGCATTATGGCGCTATGCCTAGATAACATGCTAATCTGTGTTCAAAATTTGAGAATGGCTGTGTGTTTGAGATTGTTGATTTCTGTTCCTTTCCCTTCCTTTGAATCCTTGAACTCTTGGTTCCTTTTCTAACTTGACGGTGATTACTGGCTGAAATGAAACATGTGTTAGTGGCTTCCCTGTTTTAGCTCCCCTCCCTCCTATAGCATACCTTTTAGTTCCTGCCTCTCATGCATTCTGAAATACCATTTCTTTAAATCTTGAGAGATCTAAGGTTTCTCTTTGGGAATTTATCTCCAGTGCCTGAAACTGAAAAGAGAAAATTGGATAGTTCACTAGGAAATCGTACATGCATCTTTGGAAAAATATGTATTTTGTAAATGAAAGCACACTTTTATTTTGGGGGCATCTTTTCAGAGGTGGAATTACGTCGTTATTGGTTTAATAACCATGTCCTAATTATTTATAGCTTCCTGCTTGACATAACTCACTTCAAGAAGTGCACAATGTCAGAACGTGGAATCAAGTGGGCTTGTGAATATTGCACGTATGAGAACTGGCCGTCTGCAATCAAGTGCACTATGTGTCGTGCCCCGAGGCCCAGCGGGACCATCATCACGGAGGATCCATTCAAAAGCGGCTCCAGTGATGTCGGTCGAGACTGGGATCCTTCCAGCACCGAAGGAGGCAGCAGCCCTCTGATCTGCCCAGACTCCAGCGCCAGACCCAGGGTGAAGTCTTCGTACAGCGCGGAGAACGCAAACAAGTGGTCCTGCCACATGTGCACGTACTTGAACTGGCCGAGGGCGATCCGCTGCACCCAGTGCTTGTCCCAGCGCAGGACCAGGAGCCCCACGGAGTCTCCTCAGTCCTCGGGGTCTGGCTCCAGACCGGTGGCTTTTTCTGTTGATCCTTGCGAGGAATACAATGACAGAAATAAACTGAACGCACGGACCCAGCATTGGACTTGCTCTATTTGCACGTATGAAAACTGGGCCAAGGCTAAGAAATGTGTTGTTTGCGATCATCCCAGACCTAATAATATTGAAGCCATAGCCTTGGCAGAGACTGAGGAGGCTTCCTCAATAATAAACGAGCAGGACAGAGCGCGGTGGAGGGGGAGCTGCAGCAGCAGTAACAGCCAGAGGAGGTCGCCTCCCACCACGAAGCGAGACTCGGACCTGAAGATGGATTTCCAGAGGATTGAATTGGCTGGTGCTGTGGGCAGCCAGGAGGAGCTGGAAGTGGACTTTAAAAAACTAAAGCAAATTAAAAACAGGATGAAGAAGACCGATTGGCTGTTCCTCAATGCTTGTGTGGGTAAGTTTTTGCATTTTATTGAATGGGATGGGAAAGGTATTGACGGTGACATGAAAGAGACAAGCGGGCCAACATTACCTAGCCTTTAGCTCCTGCGGCATGGTCTCGTTATAATGTGGCCCTCAGCCGCCTCCGTTTCACTGTGCACGTGTCCCCACCTGTGGGGACCAGAACTTTTACGGGAAAGCAGTGTTGTGCGCATCTGCAGTAAGTGTACCTGGGATGGAAACGCTGCTCGATGCACTGGAGTGGGTACATCAGGACACAGCGGTGCTCAGGGTGGTAAACTGCGAGCACCTTGTGACGATTGAGCTGTAGTCAGATGTTAAAAATATCACAAAGATGTATGACTCCGAGGAGTTACACAAACATCATACTGACCTTGAAAACATGATGTCATTGCAACATGACTGTCAGGCAGTAAATACTTACAAACTTTGTGGAACTTGATTTCACAAAGCCAACCGATTCCACAGGTCCAATCATGATTTGCGTATTTTGTGGTTTTAGTGCTTTTCCAAGGAAGTTCTGAATATTGGTCCAGTTACTGGCTAAGAGCTGTTAAAAGGGTAGACATGTTATAAGTTAATTATTTGTGATACAATTTCACAAAAGCAGTTGACTCTTCCATGTTTTCTTTTTCTTTTATTTATTTTTAATTTATTTTTTATTGATATTTTACAGAGAGGAAGGGAGAGAGAGAGATAGCTAGAAACGTCGATGAGAGAGAAACATCGATCAGCTGCCTCTTGCACACCCCCTACTGGGGATGTGCCTGCAACCAACATACATGCCCGTGACTGGAATTGAACTTGGGACCTTTCAGTCCGCAGACCGACGCTCTACCACTGAGCCAAACGGGTTTCGGCTCTTTTATTTTTTTAATCCTCATTGAGGATATGTTAATTGATTTAGAGAGAGAGAGGGAGAGAGAAACATTGATGTGAGAGAGAAACGTCAATTGGTTGCCTCCCGTATGCAACTTGACCAGGGATTGAACCCGCAACCTAGGTAATATGCTCTGACTAGGAATGGAATCTGCACCCTTTGGCACATGGGAAGAGCCACGTTTTTTTTTTGTTTTGTTTTGAGAAGGTTAGCTACCTGAATTTGATTTTGATTATTTGGATGGGGTGCTTTACATTGATATTTGGCTATAAACATGGCTTGTGTGTATATATATCTTCCCTAGTATTAATTTCTTTCATTTATCCCCCTGAATATAGCCCCTAGAATACAGAAGACATAACTGTCTGAAAGCTGCAGGTCCTAAAAGGAAATTTTAAAAAACCCAAAGCAACTGAGTGTTTTGTTTTAGTTCTGCCCCGGCACAAAGAGCATCTCGCAGTGCCCTCTGGCCGGACGCCGTGGCGCAGAGACTCAGCGGCGCGCCTGTGTGAGGCGGGGAAGCTCAGCTTCCGTCTGTGTCCAGGTCATCCCAGGCTTTCTTCTCCGTCCTGAATGGGTAGCACTTAGAGAGCGGTTGTCTTTTTTTTTTTTTTTTTATAAGGAAACACAAAAGGGTTTTATTTATTTATTTTTAAAAGTTTTTTAATGAAGGTTAAAATTTTTTTTTTTTTTTTTTTTTTTTTTTACATATTTTTATTGATTTCAGAGAGGAAGGGAGAGGGGGAGAGAGACAGAAACATCAATGATGAGAGAGAATCATTGATCGGCTGCCCTCTGCACGCCCCACACTGGGGATCAAGCCCACAACCCAGGCCTGTGCCCTTGACTGGAATCGAACCCAGGATCCTTCAGTCCGTAGGTCAACGCTTTATCCACTTGAGCCAAACCGGCTAGGGCAAGAGTTTTATTTATTATTAATTTTTAAAATTGAGGTCAAATTCACAGAGAAAATTCACCAATTTAAAGTGCAAAAGTCAGTGGCATTTAGTGCATTCACGGTGCTGGTTCTGAAGTACTCCCATCACCCCGAAAGGAAGCCCTGTGCCCAGCGCGCAGCTACTCCGCCGCCTTCCTGGTGGCTACAGTGCTTGCTTTCTCTGTGGATGGCAGGACACGGCCTTTCGTGTCTAGCCTTGTCTTTTAGCTTAGCTGTGTGCCTTTTGGAGCACTTGTAAAATCAGCTTTGCAAGCAGTAGCGTGCTGCCCACACGTTACTACAAGGCGGTGGTACAGTGCACGTGAGTTTATAGGTGGACGTCAACTACATCACAGTGATTCTGAACCTCCTTTGGGGCCATGGGCTTCTTTAGGAATCAGGTTCATTGTTTCTTCAGGTTAGTGGATCTCAGCATGAGAACTCCTGCTTTGAAGCAGTTTCTCTCCTTGAAACACAAGTTAGACCAGTAAGTATTACCTTGTCTTTATGACTATTATTTCTTGTCTTACGACTACTCTGTCTTCTTGCTGCTACCTTTTATTTCTTTACATATACTTTTCCTTTTTCCTTTTTAAAAAACATTTTTATTGATTTCAGAAAGGAAGGGAGGGAGTGAGGGAGGGAGAGAGAACCACTGATGGGCTGTCTCTTGCTTGCCCCACCCTGGGGATGGAGCCCACAAGCCAGGCCTGTGCCCTGCCTGGGAATTGAACCTTGACTTCCTGGCTCATAGGTAGAGGCTCAACCACTGAGCCATGCCATTCTTTTGAAGAAACATCCTTGTACCTCTTCAAATTCTAAGCGCTGTGAGCTCATTTTAAAGGTGGAATAAAAACTATACCAGCGTGACCAGTAGTGGATCTAGTCCTGTGTTGACAAATCAGTTTTTTGTCGTTAAGTTCCTGCTCCCACCCACTCCAGAGTCTCTAGGTGTGCGGGCCACGGATTGGTTGTGCTGGGTTTTGGTGATGTGGATTCTGTCTTTTCTGCCGGGAGTAGTTTTGACTGTTCACTGCACTATATGGTACCGATCTGTTGTATTATCGTCCTTTTTTATTAAGCATTCACGTCCAGTTCTCTATAATACGCTAAACACATTCTTCCGTGTTATATTTTGTGGGTTAATTAACAGAAGTTCACATTTACTGAAATTTGATCTTTATTTTTCTACTGGCCTCATTTCTTCAGCTTTTGTTAGGCATGTTGTATGATGGCCTGCTGATACGTATGCATGTAAAAGAATCGTTTCAGCACTCGCTTCGGCAGCACATGTACTAAAAAGAAAATCTCCAAAGTATGTACACTAAGTCTAAAATGTATACTTATTATAAAACTTACACTAAGTAATAAGAAATTGGAAAACAAAAGCGCAGCCACAGGCCAGCTCGGTAGCCGGTGAAGTGGGAATGCCTCGTCCCAGGTGACGGAGCCCCGCCGCACTCAGTGAGGCTCCTCCGGGGACGGCGGAGGGGAGTGCTGTTGCTTAAACTTTGGAATCACATTTGACACCAGGTCGGCCAGGTGAACATGCCTGTATGAAGCCGATGGCGGTTCCCAGGGAGCCTGTCACCTACTGCTATTTCCCAGCACTCCATGGTTCGGCCACAGGATGTGAAATGGGTTTTAGTGTAGCATTTCTGTAGAGCTTGGTCCGTTTTCTTTGCTTGTGTTTCCTATTTTCAAGTTGGTATACCACAGCTGTTTGCACAATCAACTTTCTATCTTTAGATTTTTTTCTGCCTATGGAATTGCTTTGTGCTAATTACCACTTCTGAGTTGCAAGCCCAGTAGCAGATCGGTGTTCTAATATTTAATTTTTGGAGATAATCTTTTTAGGACTTTAGAGAGGAAGCTAATGAAATTGTTCATTGTTCTGAGAGATTTAAGTTATGGTTAGTTTTTAGTTTTCTGAAAAGGACTTTACATTTTCTTTCAAAAAAAATATATATTTTATTGATTTTTTTTACAGAGAGGAAGGGAGAGGAGTAGAGAGTTAGAAACATCGATGAGAGAGAAACATCGATCAGCTACCTCTTGTACACCCCGTACTGGGGATGTGCCCGCAACCAGGATACATGCCCTTGTCTGGAATTGAACCTGGGACCCCTCAGTCTGCAGGCTGATGCCACACTGGCCATACACACTTTATTCCTCAGTTACAGTTCACGTTCAGTGTTATTTTGTACTGGTTTCAAGCGTACAGCACAGTGGTTAGACAGCCACATACTTTACAGAGTGTCTCCCTGTAGTTTTCGGGACCAGAGGGCTAAGTCCCGGTGTGTTTTAGGTGCTGGATTCACTCGGGGGCTCTCGGGCCGTGCTGTGCTTGGGAGTGGGACTGAGTGTTCTTCGGAAGACCCTCTGGTTTTGGCGCCCTTCCCCCTCAGCACGGCGCTTCTCTTACTGAGGGAGGCAGAGCCCGGGAAGGGTCTTGAGTCTTCGACATTTAAAATGATTAGATTTTTAAGTAACATTTTAAAACATAAAAATGGTTTGAGTTAAATATTCTATAAAAAGCTTTTAGTGGAATCCAAAGTACACACAGACTGCGGCAGATAAATCTTTGGCTGCATCCATAAAAGGAGAACAGGGCCAGCGTGCCCGGGGCCTGGTACGTCCTGCTCGCTGTGTGCCCTCTACCTGGGATGTGTGTGCCGCTGGGAAAACCCAGTCTTGTCCTAGCCACGTGGCTCCGTTGGGTGATCATTGTCCTGTACCCCAGGAAGGTTGTGGGTTCGATTCCCAGTCAGGCCCCATACCCAGGTTTTGGGGAGCAACCTGTTGCTGTTTCTCTGTTACATCAGAGTTTCCCTCGTCTCGTCCTTGAAAATCAGTTAAAACATAAGCTTGGGTGAGGATTACAAACCAAACCAAACCTCAGGTCTTATCACCCCACCCCCTCCGATCCCAGGCGCTGATGGCCCTGGGACGGAGTGCTAGCTCAGGACTTCCTGGTTTCTGAGGGTTTGCTCCCGCGGCAGTGGAGCTCTGGCTGTAAAATAGCATGCTGTCCCGGTTTTTAAGTGAATTGTGACCATTCTCAGCAACATAAACATTTCAGTCTGGGCTCCACACGCTTTCCTTCCGGGCCGGTTCAGCCTGGGTTGGAGGTGCGGAGGCTCTGGAGACAAAGGCTGTCAGAGGGCGGGTCACG